ACCAATAAACGAATATAAACTTTTTACCAACTTTCACAATTTTCAACAAATTTTAAAGAGAAACTTAATCGAACTCAAACCCAAAAATTTAATTGTAAATAATAATTCACTGCAAACTATCTTATTTTAAGATGTTTTGGTTGCGTTTTTAAGACATTAAGATGTTGAAGATATTTTGATGTCTTGAAAATGCTACCAAAACATTTAAAAACGAGATAATTCTTTTTGCAGTGTTGTAAATTTAACTAATTGATTTGAAAATAAATAATTCTATTCAGAATAGAATTTCAGGATACTTTAAGAAAATAGTTGCGCCTCTGTTATTCAGAGTCTGTTCAATGAAAGTGGGACGATATTTAAAAAGTTGATTTTTGGACTTGGCAGTAACTCGAGACAATATTTCAAGCAGCCACTTTTAATATTCAAATTAGTTTCCTCATCTCCTAACCTGAGCTATGATAAAACCAAGCTTTTTATTAAACAAGAGCGATGAGTAACAAAATTCATGTGTATTCTTCATTTCATTATTTGAATTAAATTATATGTTTAATATACAATTTTCATCGAATTTTATCCTATATGACTTGAACAGATAAAAGCTCACACGCGTGCTCTCACTGGACCAAACAGATGAGTCCTCATATGCGACGCATGTGAGTCGCCCGCGTGAGGGTCGTATGCGTGATGGTAAAATGAGTCTAGATCATATTATTCAGTTTCTAATTTAGGTTAAAAGAATATAATATATTACGTGATGCTGAAATGTAAAAACTCGACTATTAGACAAATTAATATACTTTTAATATAACAGAAAAAAAACTTAAATTAAAAAAGTTGTAAAAATAACAGATTTAATATTTTCTGAGTTGATTTATTTTTGTTATCTTATGATACTTTTAATAAACTCATAACGATTAAATTTAATGTCTATTGGTTATTGAAGATTGAAATATGGAAGACATCCCTGTTTTATATATAATTATATATATATATATATATAATTATATATATATATATATATATATGTAACTTGTACTAATTATAATCATATAATGTTCAATTGAATATTCTGTCTTAACAATGCTGTGAATAGAAGCAAAGCTTTCAATCTCATTACCACAAAACGTGGATGTTGTGGCTTATAAATACATGAATTTCATCTTGGAATTGTTCTAATAGGACTTCACAGAGTGCTGAATTATCTTGATAAAATATGTGTTATCTATAATTATAATTAATTTAAACTAGAAATTTAATTAATATTACATGCGTATTTAAGTCGTAAATATATTTACTTATACATATTTATCTGAATCTGTAAAAGTATTATAATTATCACTCAATATAAGTATATACATAAATTTTATATATTTTTTCCTTTTGTGTGAATATTGAGTCTAGACTTCACAGAAAGTTATAAGGTATTAAAATAAGCTGCAACGCTTAAAATTTTAATCCAATTTTGCTTATTTTAATACCAAAATGGATTAAAATAAGCAAAATTGGATTAAAATAATAAGCGTTGCAGCTTATTTTAATGCCTTTTAATTTTCTGTGTTATTGACGAAAACTCAGATTAGTTTGTTTTAATACGGTTGAATTTAAAAGGATTGAAAAGATTATAATGCCCTAAAATACACCAAAATATTTTCGGACGGTACACAAAAAATATAATGAGCAATTTTTAAAGTATTCAAGGATCTAAAATTGAGCAAATTAAGAGTACTCCAAATTAATCGCATTACGTCCTTCGGAATTAGTAGTATGACAAGTAAAAATAATTCAGATGAGAGGAGAAAAGTATAATTAATATACAATAAAATTACTTACTTTTTCAAGTTATTAATAATTGATGAATATTGTTGAAAACTCGTTTAAATCGAAACCTTGGACTCTTGGTATAAAGAATAATACTTTGAACTGGAATTTGAAGGTTAAACTTGGAAGAATTTTAATATTTTGAAAAGAACTGACCAATCACTGGAGAAATAATTAGAAATTGAATGATCTAGAAGAATGAACTTGGAACTTGAAAATAATTAAAAGAACTTGTAATTAGAAAGACTCTTTTGGAAATAGAAGAAAGAACTGTGAGAACTTAAAAACTACTAACTTGTTTTTTAGGGTCTTTAGTTTTTATATTGCTATCCCTTCTTTTTTTAAGTCGGATGGAATTTGGGGATTAATATTTTTAGAGTCGGAAATTAGAAAAAATCAACGTTTGGATTTATGAAAAACAAAAATAGAAAATCTTATCGAAAGAAAGATGTCATTGGGTCTTGTAGGCCCAACCTTTGCAAGGGATGACTTTGCGTGGGCGTATCTTAAGATAATGGTGTCTTGAAAAAGAGGGTATCTAAAGTTCAAAATATTTTTAAAAGATGGAGCCAAGATTCACTTTTTAAACGAATTTCAAAAATTACAAATATTCTTAAAATTATTTATAAAATACATAATTTTATAATTATTTAATTATATAATATTTAAAAAATTGAAATTTTACACACATAATTATACATATTCATACATATAGATATAAAAGAGAGATAGTCAAAATTATTTGAATACAATTCAATAATAATTATTAAATACTTTATATGTATAGAATATTAATAATTAAAATTTATTATTTCATCGTGTGAAAAATTATTTTTAAGAAATAGAAATGTAACAGACTTGTAATTTGATATTTTCATTTTGGGAAACTAGTCAATTTTGTTACTAATAGAAAGAAATCTGGGTGACAAGGACTCTTGGACCTGTCGTGAGAAAAAGAAAGAGAGGAAAGTACCTCAGCGGTCAACATCTGGAGGATGCACTCATAGCTTTTTGCCTCGATTTTATGGTTATATTTTTTACATTTTATCACGCTAATGAAATAACGCAGGACGTTACAACATTGTTCGTCTTTGTATATCACTTATATTATTTGACATACAAAACTTAAATTTTTAATGTTTTTATTGTCTCGAATCGTTTTCGTCCTGATAAACGTCTTCAAAACGATTATTGTGGAACCGACTTTATATACGCACTAAAATAATAACTTTAAAAATATCAAAATTCATATGACTTTAAATTGATGTATGACTTGAAACTGACTTTCACTACTGATGCTGCGCTACTTTTACTAGAATACACAACGTACGTTGTCTGACTGAATATGAATTTCACTATTGACATTTAACTTAAAAATGATTTTAACTGTTTCTTTAATCCCATTTTTTTTCCTAATTGGCCAATATTTGACGAATTATGTATCTTCACGATTTTTCACTTGGTATATAGGAGAAAATTACGGGGATAGTATAACTATGTATTAATATTTGTAATTACAATGGATTACAAATACCACCTGTTGTTATTATCATCGATTTGAAGTGCCATTAATTGTACCCACCGCATTCATTATATGTATAACTTCTCTCAATTGCAAACTAGAAACAATTAGAGAATGAGAGGGTACAAATGTCCCTTATTTTCCGTAATTCCAATTACAACTAATAGAAAGTTGTTTCCACTAGTTTTGATATACACTATTTAAGAACTTCCAATTGAGGTAAAATTTTATATATATATATATATATATATATATTGTGACGTTATTTTTTGTGATTGACGTCACAATTGCACCACTCGCATTTAAAATTTTGAATCATTCTATTTTTGAGTTTCGCTATAAATAAAAATTTGATGTTTACTGCATTTGAGAATTTCCTATACTTGACACAAGTCCAGTTGAAATACTGGCGCTCCATTTTTAAGGAATTCTGCATTAATTTAGTTTAAGTTAGTTTTAGGTTGGCAGGCTTTGTCGAATTTCCGGTATGACAGGTTCCAATATTCAAGTTATCGCGGGCTTGGGTATTGGAAAAGTCGCTTAGTAGTATTAGTAACTCAGAATTCTGGGAGAAGCAAGGTAGGAAAAGATTTTGATTGGTTTAATTTAAAGAAAATCGTTGCGTCATCTAGTGTCAATTTAGAGTGAATTGAGAATTTTAGTTTTTAAAAACACTCTCTTGCCATCCAACCCCCATCGAGTCAACATGTTTAAGTTTCAATAGTTTTCGATCATGTTTTTCAAAGTTACAGTCGGTTGTGGTTACAGTTACATTAATAAATTTAAAATTAATTCTAATAAAACATTATTAAAGTTTAACAACAATAAGTTCAATTTACTTCAAACTATTTGCAATATCTCGTTTTTCTACCATGAGTCCAACCAGCATCATGCAACATAACTGTAAGCTAATTTTTATATAATTGTTTTGTGAGAATCTTCATTATTCGATTAAATTGTTATTACCATTGCTATAAAATAATAAATAAAATTTCGTAAGAGCGATTTAAATTGTCATAAGGAATTTAATTAATGTCAATGATTTATTTAATAACATGTAACATTTCTTTTATTTCTAATTTTTGTTTATGAATTATTTATTGTTATAATGAACTCTTTTATTATAAAAACCCATCCCTCTCTCCACGACCTGCATAACTGACTAGCACCGGCACGTGCAGAAGACTTAGTTAATAATTCTTATTGGTCGATCTTAATTAATATGTTATTAGTTATAAGTTTAAGATTTGTTTATTTGAGATTTAGATTATAGTATAGTCCGGTTGACAATACCGGCGATACAAAAGTTGTCTGGCGCCCTTCCATACCGGGGATCGTCCATAAGAATAAAAGTTAAGTCGCACAGTAACGTTTTGCTTATTTTGTTATTTGATTTTTCTAAGATTTAAAGTAACATAAATTAAGTTTCAGAATCGAGTCATTGTACTGCGCTGTCTCGTCCTCAAGATCAAATATATATATATGTAGTACCGCCGTACTGCTGGTTCCGCCACAGTAATTTCAAAGCTAAAGCTTTTTTCGCGCCTCCTATAGGTGACGCTTCTATACTTCCTTCCCTATGCTCCTTACCGCCATTACGTTGTTCTGTGCGTTCCGCTACACACGTATCACAGTGACAGTCAGTGAAAAAATTAAAATAATGTCATCTTCAACGCCAGAATCAAGTTCATCAGAAGGAAGTCGTCATCGTCGTCATAAGAAGAAGAAGTCTTCGATGAAAAAGAAGGACAAGAAGATAAGGAAACTCAAAAAGGAACTGGAAAAAGCACGGCGTCATCGTTCGCGTCACAGTTCGACATCGAACAGCACAGATTCTCAATCATCCTATGCACGCTCGCGAGAGCGTAGGGCTGCGAGTTCACGGAGAGGAACTCCAGACTCTTCGACAATGCGAGATCGTGATCGACGAACATCGGGCCGAGAGTCCACTTATGCCAGAGAATTGAGTTATGAGCGTTATCTGCGAGAAACGCCTTACTCAAATCCAAGAGCACGCAGAGGGGATGAGCGCAGCACCAGAGGCTCGCCGTCCCTCTCCAGTAGCCGTAGTAGATCCAGAAGTCCGCTAGGTAAGCGCCAATCAAACGAAATCGACAGTGAAAAAAATCCAGACACGAGAGGAAAAAAATCTGAATCGAACGAAAAAAATCCGGAATCAACAGGAAAAAATTCAGAGTTGACAGAGCAAGCGGACGAGCTATTGCAGCTACTAGGAGATGGCGCTAGTGATAAAGATCTAGTTAGTGGTGCCATCCATCCGTCAATTGCCAAACTATGGTCGAAAATTCTACAGTCTGGATTACCGAAAGAGATACAACAAGAAGTGGTTAAAAATTCAATGCTGCCGAAAACTGTCGTACAATGGGTGCGCCGCGCCTTAACCCAGAAATAAAAGCCAGCCTAAGCTCATCAGCTATTAAGAAGGATGAATACCAAGTTGCCTCTCAAGTCCAACTTTGCTCAGCTATTTCTGCAGTCGGCCGTCTTCTCACCGATATTCTAGAAATGAGAAAATCCTCTAAGCAACTCGATGAGTCGCACATTACAAAAATCTTTGAAATCCTCAGTGACGTCGGCCGTATTTTGACAGATCTGCATCATAAAATATCCATGACACGAAGATCTTTCATCATTCCGTCATTCTCTCTAAGGTTGAAAGCAATTGCCGACGAAACAGCAGTGGATACCTTACTTTTTGGAAATTCACTAGCGGAAAAATTAAAGCAAGCCAAGGAAGTGGAAAAGTCCGGCAAAGATATTTCCAAGCAGCAAACATCAATGAGGGTCAACACCGACAAAGAGAAAACATCACACAAAAATCATTTAAACTCCAAAACCCCCTTCAAGAAGAGTTACCCACGTTCCAACTCGAGGGGAGGGGGGAATCGACGAGGAACTCGGACACCGCGCAATCAGACATCTCGATACCGGAAGTACTAGAGGTAAGCGCAATGACAGGTCGACTAAAATTTTTTGTAAAAAATTGGCAGGTAATTACACAAGACCCCTATATAATAAATACTATCCTGGGTTACAAAATACCTTTTGAACAAAAACCAACACAAATGATTGTTCCAACTACGCCTCAGCTGTCGACTGAGGACGAAACGAGAACATATAACGCTCTATCCCGATTACTAAAAATAGGTGCAATATCTCGTTGCAAGCCATGCAGCAATCAGTTTTTGTCCTCATATTTTCTGAGACAAAAATCTAGTGGCGAAGACCGTTTCATCCTCAATCTTAAGAAACTAAATAAATTCATCCCAACATCACATTTTAAGATTGAGGATTTGAAAACGGCAATAAGCCTTATAAATAAAAATTTTTTCATGGCGGTAATCGATCTCATAGATGCGTATCTCATGGTCACAGTAACAGAGGAACACCGCAAGTTCCTTCGTTTTGCTTTCAGGGACGAAACCTATGAATTCCAGAGTTTACCTTTCGGGCTTTGCACAGCCCCGTACATTTTTACGAAACTGCTCAAACCCGTTGTCCATCAACTCAGATGTCAAGGAATTATCCTTGTGATCTATCTGGACGACATACTGATTATAGCAAAATCAGAAGCAGAATGTCGTAAACATGTTCACATCACACGAAAGTTGTTGGAATCTCTGGGATTCATGACTAGTGAAAGCAAGAGCCAGCTACAGCCCGCTCAACGATGCATCTTTTTAGGGCTAGTACTAGATACCAAAAAATTTCGCATTGAATTACCAGATAAAAAAAGATTGACAATTAGCAAGCTAGTCGATAGGTTTTTGAAAAACAAAGAGTGTAAAATACAGGATTTAGCAAAATTGATCGGCACCCTAGTTGCCGCATGCCCCGCAGTTAAATACGGTTGGTTACACACAAAAAGACTTGAACGCGAAAAATATCTTGCACTAATAGAATCCAACGACAATTATAATAGCAAAATCACACTTCCCAATATTATTCAGCCAGATCTAGAATGGTGGGCAGAAAAAATACGAAATTCATTTAATCCCATTAGGAAAAACGTCTATTCGAAAGAGATCTACACAGATGCATCATTGACGGGCTGGGGAGCTTTTTGTGAAGGTGAAAAAGCCTACGGTTTGTGGACGGAAGCTGAGAGTAACCTTCACATAAATGCTCTGGAGTTGATAGCAGCCTTCTTTGGATTGAAATGTTTCGCCAAAGAAATGCACAATTGTGAGATATTGCTTCGTATGGACAATACGACTGCGATTGCTTACGTCAACAGAATGGGCGGGATACAGTATCCCAGGTTAACTCAAATTTCAAGAGAAATTTGGGACTGGTGTGAAAGTCACGAGCTCTATATCCATGCATCTTACTTGCCTTCTAAAGAAAATAAAGAAGCCGATGAAGGATCGAGAATGCTTCCACAAGAAACCGAGTGGGAATTAGCATCTTGGGCATTCCGAAAAATCGAACGAATCCTTGGGCCTTTTGAGATTGATCTCTTTGCCTCGAGAGCAAACGCAAAATGCAAAAAATATGTCTCTTGGCAAAGAGACCCGGATTCATTTAACATAGACGCGTTCACCATAAATTGGAATCAATATTCGTTTTATGCTTTTCCTCCTTTTTCTGTAATACTGCGAGTACTACAGAAAATTCAAACAGACAAGGCGACAGGAGTTGTTGTGGTACCCATGTGGCCCACACAACCATGGTATCCGCTCTTTACGCTTTTAACAGTCTCGAAACTAATTTACCTCAAACCTCATGCTCACTTATTATTTTCTCCTCACAGGAAGACGCATCCTCTGCATCAAAACCTCACGTTGATAGCTGCCAGATTATCAGGGAATCGTTCCAGCGGAACGGAGCAACCAAGGAAGCAGCGGAGGTAATGCTACAATCAATTGCAAAGAGTACACTCAGACAATATGCCAAGCCGATCAGGTTATGGAGCGAGTTCTGCGCAAAGGAGAGTATTGAATTATACAACTACGACATCTCAAAGATTCTGCAGTTCTTCACCGAAATTTTGAATCAGACGAAATCTTACAGCACTGTAAATGTTTACAGGGCAGCTTTGTCCCTTATAATGGGAAACAAACTCGGCGAGGACAATCGAGTGTCTAGATTCTTCAAGGGCGCAGCCACGCAACTGCCTAAGACCTACAAATACGATGTTACTTGGGACCCTGATTTGGTCCTCAATCACCTAGAGAAATGGTACCCTAATGAAAACCTCACCCTGCAATTGCTCACTAAAAAACTGGTAACATTACTCGCTCTGATCACTGCACAGAGAGTACAGACACTGTCAGCGATTCAACTGGAGAATATCAGCCTTGACAGGGATACAATCCGGATCAAAATCACAGAAAATCTGAAGACGTCGACAAGGAGTAAATTCCAACCAATTCTAGAGGTGCCTACATTCACAGAAAAGCCGCAGATATGTGCAGCTTCGACTCTTCGGGCATATATCACCAAAACAGAAAACTTAAGATCAGGCAAATCGAGTGCAGGAAAATTGTTGCTCACTCACAAAAAGCCTCACCATCCTGCTACAGCGCAAACAATAAGCAGATGGATTCGTGAAACTTTAGAAGAGAGCGGTATAGATACGAAAATCTTCACCGCACATTCCACGCGACATGCATCAACTTCAGCAGCGGCTCGCAGAAGTACAAACATTGAAGTTATCCGTAGAGCAGCCGGCTGGTCGGCCAAATCATCTACGTTTGCACGGTTCTACAACAGACCCGTGACAGATAACAGAACATTCGCGTCGTTTTTTTGCAACTAACTAATTTCTTTTTTTTTTTTTGTTTTTTTCTTACTTAAAACAGTTTAATCACTTAACTCTTGTTCAGAAATCTTAATTTCTATTTCCTTTTTTTCATAAGATTACTACTCTACTTTGTAGTGCCCGCTTAAGCGGAACAAATCACGATTATAATATATAAATGTAATAAAACTAAATGGCATAAATTCGCATGAAACTTTGAACATCTACATATATTTGATCTTGAGGACGAGACAGCGCAGTACAATTGAAGGATTGAACGAACTTACCTAAGTGAAGGTCAATCCAAATTGTATGAGCTGTCTCGTCCGAATAGATCAAACCCTCCCCTCCCTATAATTATTCCTAGAAAAATAACCCTTTATGCGAATTAAGCCAAGCTTTAAAATATAATGGCGGTAAGGAGCATAGGGAAGGAAGTATAGAAGCGTCACCTATAGGAGGCGCGAAAAAAGCTTTAGCTTTGAAATTACTGTGGCGGAACCAGCAGTACGGCGGTACTACATATATATATATATTTGATCTATTCGGACGAGACAGCTCATACAATTTGGATTGACCTTCACTTAGGTAAGTTCGTTCAATCCTTCAATTTTACATTAAAGTTTGAATTCAATTTCGTCCAAGTTAGTAATTTTGATAATTAGAATTATTTGTTGTTTGTTATAATAAAATTTAAAAATCAAGTTTGAGAGTAATTTTAAAATCGAGAAAAATACGTTACAATATATATATATATATATCTAATTGACATTTGTCGCACATGTCATAAGTAATAATGTAATAAGCTTTTTACTCTTCTTACAGATCGTATTCCCGTATTATATATCTGATACTTATCGCTTCGCTTCCGGAAATATTACTTTATTATTTGATAATGGAGGAAAAAGTTCAATATAGGTACAATATAATCGAGGTCGCGTTTCTATTTCTTAAAGAGAAGCACGATTTGCAGAAAGTCGTCGTCGTCGATAAATTTCGTACTATTGGAAGCCATTCTTTTTAAGCAGGACGACATTAATTAAATGGCGTGCCGATGTTATCGCCATCGCACGTTCACACGTGCCGGGAAAAGCCATGATTAATGATACGCTACGCAGAAAGAGAGGGGGAGGGAGGGGGATTATTTTCCTCTCTTCGCCACGTCTGGATAAAGACTTCATGAATAACGGGTGTCGGAAATTTCTTTTTTTCGCATGCTTAGGTCTCTTTCTTACTCCCCTTCTTCTCATACAATCCGGCAATAATGGATAATTTATTTGCAGCTGCGATGCTTTTGCTATTATGACACCTTATTGCTTTACACGAACATACAATATATATATATATATATATATATATATATATAAAGCCACCAACTAGTTTTCTGCGTGTAGTACGTCTAGATAATGTAATGGAAAGTACTTATAAATACTTCCGGGGAAATAAAAGCAATCGATATTTTTTTACAAGAATTTATTTAAATTCTTATAGTGAAGAAGTCAATTTAACTTCTAATAAAAAAAGATGTTTATATACCTTCATTGATATTTAATAAGGTAAGGTTTTGTAATTTATTCTCTAATGTAATTCAATCTTAAATTCATACAGCGTAACGTATTACTGGTTCCTTTGAAGTTAACTAAGTTATTTACTTGTCCTAGAACTTTTATAGCATATATATATACCCAAGCACCACGGTACATTCCCTGAATATCCGTTGAATACCATAGTGGAATATTCTCATGATCTTGTAGGAAAATCAAAATGTCCGCACACGGAAAGAAATTTAGTAGCAATATTTGATAAATCTGATAGGAAATTTTAGTATTCTCTTTTTCAAACGCGGAACATTTGGGTTTGATAACGAAAATCGGTATATTTTTACCAATAGTCTTTTTAGTAAATATATTCCAGAAATTGAAATTATTATTTCGTAAATTGATAAATTTATACGAAAAAACAGAAGTAAGTTAAATCGACGCGCACTTCGTTATTTACTAAATTTATATGAAAATTTGGAAAGATTATTTCGAAATTTGTTAAAACTATACTAAAAATTCGAAGTGGTTCAGTCGTGACAGATGACGACAGAAACACCAACAGATTCTACGCCAAAGTTTTATCTCTTTCTCATCTCGAGGATAGACGAGGATATGAACTTTTAAATGCACACACACACACACATACACCGCATTGTTTTACATCGATTGGCTTATTTTTATTCCTAACCTATACTAACGATAATACGTATAACATTCGCAGAATAACGCTTCATATACAAATTTACGCTCATGTGAAAAACTGATGTGACCATTCTTATATACTAACCAGACATATTTTTCACCGCTTATGAGAAAGGTGAAATTATATTAAAACATGTTTAAAAATATAAATAAAAATCATTATTTATTGGGAAATAATTAAATATTTTATTATTTTTTGAAGAACAATTTTTTTTACTGATTTATTGTAAAATCTTCGAAATTAATTATATAAAAGAAATTCAGGTCCTGTATCAAGATAATAGTAAAAAGGGGCTTGTCTAAAGAGCTTCGTCAGTCTTCGTTACCACTCGGTGAGGATCGGGCAATTCCGAACGTTCAACTTCGGCAAATTTCGTCGAATCTCGTTAACTTTGATATTTCTTTTTCAATTTTCATATCAAATATATCAAAATCTAAAATAATTATATCATTTTATACAATTCTAATTACGAAATTTGAAATATTTGGTTAGAAAAATTGATAAAGAGCTTATTAAAATTTGACATTTTTGTGTTTCAATAAAAAGATTTCAGATTTCGTAAATATTATATCAAATTTTCATTCCAACTATATTAAATATTCTTATTTTAATCTCAATCATTCTTAAAAATAGTATCGAAAATCGTTATCATGCCAAAATGTTCCGCAATTGTAACCAAATATACTAAAAAGTAACACCATAATATCAAATATTGCTACAAACTTTCTTTCCGTGCATCATGGGAATATTCCATAGTGACATTCAGGGTATATTCCTGTGACATTGAGGGAATATTCCTCGGTGACATTCATGGAATATTCCAGTGACATTAAGGGGATATTCAGTTGATATTGTGGAAATATTCCAGTGATATTGAGGGAATTTTCCACGGTTACATTGAATTTTTTTTTTTTTAATGTGTTTTTAATCTTCCTGCTTATTCAAATAACAATTTATAACACATTTCTATTATTTTAACACTTAAAAAAAATTCAATATAACCGTGGAATATTCCCTCAATATCACTGGAATATTCCTTTAATATTACCCTCAATATCACTGGAATATACCCTGAATGTCACTGTGGAATATTCCCATGATGCGGACATTTTGATTTTCCTGGAAGATCATGGGAATATTCCACGGTGGTATTCAAGGGATATACCGTGCTGCTTGGGTAATGATTTATTGTATATATAAACACATTTTATATATTTTTTTGGCTCAAAAACTCTCTAATCTATCTGGCTCTGTAATTTATTTAACCCAATCCGCAGACAAGAGTGATAATGGCTTTAGATTATAAAATCTTTCTTTGAGCTCGTTGCTTGTAATAGTTGGAAGAAATGGCACAAATCCAAATGGCTTTAAAGAAAGAATACGAATTTAGCCCAGAACAGATGAGTTTTTGCATGAAAACTTTACTGAGAGTTTCACTTGCTGATAGGCTTTAATAGGGTATGAGAGATAAAATTTATATTTTACTATATCCTATATGTAATTAGAAATAATATTTGGACACTTTCATTGCATATACATACAATTTAAATAGAGATACTCACTGCAAAAGCAATTGTAATTTAATGTTGCAGAAACAATTTAGACATGATAATAGCAGGCATGAATTGACTCGCAGTATTATAGTCATCATACTGATGGCTCATTGATGTTCAACTCAACGAGCAAGCATCTCTTTAGCAAATGTTATAGCATTATTGTAACCCATCAATCGATAATCTACATATATTCGCGCATTAGACACAAATATGCATATATTTTCCTATATTATTTATTAACGCATATTATATTTTTTAATTCTATTAAATTAACAATATACATACTGACATAATCTAAAATTAACAAAAGAGCAATACAAAAATCAATTATTAAAAAAATTCACTAAATGAAATATAAATAATTATACTATTAATATTTAAAAAAAAATATTTAATAACTGATTCTATTTATATTAATAGATTAATCTATTTGATCTTTATCGTTAATATATGTAGTATTATAAAAATCACAAGTGTACGAGTTTTATGAACAATGTAAAAAAATCGATCACCAAGTTTTCTTGATAGCCTTTCTATTTAAAAAACACAGAATACATATTGTTTAGCAAGAATGGTTTTTTGTTTACGATGGTATCAAATCACGCTCTACTTCTTATCCAAGAAATCCTTAGAGGAGTACGTATATATATGTCCATTTTACCCATGATGAAAAAAAGTCATATTGCTTGTCTTCATAAAACACACAAGAGAAGTTTACCAGGTATCATATTTTTGAAAGTATTGTTTTCAACTTTTTTTATGTCACTTAAGCTATCAAATATTTCATAAGTGCAGTTATTCATTGATGTATTTATACATTATTAAAAATGAAAAACGATTATTCTTTGTTATTTCTTAAAAGCATACATTAAATAATAAAGTTTTATTTTTTTATAACACCAAATACAAAATATTCTCTTTAGTTAGAATTTTAGATAAAAAAAATAATGATCTTAAGAAAAGAATATAGTAAAAAACGGAGAAGGATAAGTAACGTGTGAAATTTAAGGAAGTACTTTTATTACTTAAAAATGAAGAAATTGTATTAACAGTTAATTTTTTATCATTATTTCCACGGTAAGTATAATCTTTAAATAAAATCAATTTGTCATTCATTTACAAATCAATATCTGTCGTTAGTTCATAGTAGT